GGGGGGGGAGGTGTAGGGGGGAAGGAACACAGGCGGGCACAATGCGGAATAAAATACGGAAATTAACTTGATAGAAAACACAATGATAATGCTATTGTAAATGACAATAGTAACATAGTACAATGTATTAGTAGTCCGAATAATTTAACTGATTGTGTAAAGAGTATATCTTTACAAAATTATGGATGCCTTTTTACATTTTATTGTGATTCTGTTCCTGGATCTAGTTTTTGACTTGGACTTGTCTGATAATCTATCTATCTATCTATACTATCTATCTATCTATCTATCTATCTATCTATCTATCTATCTATCTATCTATCTATCTATCTATCTATCTATCTATCTATACTAGCTATCTATCTATCTATCTATCTATCTATCTATCTATCTATCTATCTATCTATATTAGCTATCTATCTATCGATCGATCGATCTATCTATCTATCTATCTATCCATCTATCTATCTATCTATACTAGCTATCTATCTATCTATCTATCCATCTATCTATCTATCTATACTAGCTATTTATCTATCTATACTAGCTATCTATCTATCTATCTATCTATTCATCTATCTATCTATCTATCTATCTATACTAGCTATCTATCTATCTATCTATCTATCCATCTATCTATCTATCTATACTAGCTATCTATCTATCTATCTATCTATCTATCTATCCATCTATCTATCTATCTATCTATCTATCTATCTATACTAGCTATCTATCTATCTACAAGTCAACACACCTACATACTTACCTTCCATATCACTAATATGTGGATCGTTGGATAAATCGATAACCCTATGTATGGAAATATCTTTGTGTTTTTCAGAACGTTAACTTTAAATGCTCTCCCTCAATGGTTGGGAGCATGTTGGAGACAGGAACAATAAGACCATGTCGTGTCAAAGATTGTTCATAACAAGCTAGTTCACTCGACCAAAAAAACTGTCAGCGTAAGTCCGCGCATTGGTTCAGATGGCACTGCAGTTTTTGTTTTGAAGCTCTCTGTCGTTTCTTCAGCAGAAGACTAGGAATAGCAAAGTTTGTTAGTTTCGCTTTTATTGATCTTCTTACAAGTAAGGCAGCTCTGTTCGCAAAGTCTGTACTTTTTCGAAGAGGGCGCCGACGGATTTTGAGGACACTTTTTTAATTGGCTCAAAGAGAGCAGTGAACTATTTTGTTATGTACGATCTTTGGTCGTATACAGGAGTAGTGGGGGGGGGGTGTCTGTTTTGCAACAGTGAAGTGTCGATCAATATATTATTATCACTATTGTGGTTTAACTATTTGTAACACTTACACATCAGTCTACCTGGGTTCCGTTCAGGATAGAAGTAACTTTGAAACTTACTGGCAACAGTAGACATTTAACAACGCAGCCAAACGTCTTTCCGATGGGGATGAGAGCAGGATACTGTCTAACATGGAAGGGGTGGCAACGAAACAAAATTACACTATAGAACTAATCATTTTAACAATACTTTGTGGGAAAAATCAGTTTGGGCCTCTAATTCGAGACTTACTTGATATAAATTTAGTTCACTCCTCTCGTTGAGCCAATTATAAAAGTCTTAGTGTCATCAAAATCCGGGGGTGCCCTCTTCGAAAACGTGCGGACTTTGCGAACAGAGTTACCCTACGTGTGTGAAAAATAATAAAAGTGAAACTAACAAACTGCGCTATTCCTATTCTTCTTCTGGGGAAATGAAAGAGAGCATTAGAACAAAGACTGCAGAGCCATCTGAAGCAATGCGTGGACTTCCGCGGACACTTTTTTGGCTGAGTGAACTATCTTGTTTTGTACGATCTTTACTTGAGCTATATCGTGCCTAGCAAAATGGTTCACTCAGCCAAAAAATTGTCCGCGGAAGTCCGCGCATTGGTTCAGATGGCGCTGCAGTCTTTGCTTTGAAGCTCTCTTTCGTTTCTCCAGAAGAAGAATAGGAATAGCACCTCTTTTGCGTGCGTAGATCGACAGCTGTTCATCCGCCTTTCGGGTTCGTTCAGTGTGGAATTTTAGGGTTTTTTTTTATATTTTAGTGACCTTTCGCCTCTCATTCTAAAGTCAAATTACACGAAGAAACCAGCCTCCTCCTCCTCTGGAAGACGCTTTTTGTCAGCGGAACCATTTTAAAAAAGCGTTCTCCCGAAATTTGAATTCGAATTTATTCAAAAACTTGTTAGTTTCTTTTTTATTATTATTTTTCCACACAAGTAGGGTAACTCTGTTCACACAAGTAGGGTAACTCTGTTCACACAAGTAGGGTAACTCTGTTCACACAAGTAGGGTAACTCTGTTC